CCCAAACTGTGGTCTCTGGCCGAGATTGCCACATCCTCGTGACAAGGTCAAGGACGGGGGCGGCGGGAGCGAGAGCTCTCCATGCCCACCTTGCGCCGGGCCCATCGCCGCGCAGGCTCTCGGAGGCAGCCGCGCCTCGCCGGCCCCTGCACCGTCACGCTCGCCCTCGGCGCAGTGTCCCTTCCCGGGCGGGACGGTCCTGTCCCGGCCTCTTTACTACACGGCGCCCTTCTATCCGGGCTACACGAACTATGGCTCCTTCGGACACCTTCACGGTCACCCTGGGCCCGGGCCAGGCCCCACAACTGGTCCAGGCTCGCATTTCAATGGATTAAACCAGACGGTGTTGAATCGAGTGGACGCTTTGGCTAAAGATCCGAAAATATTGCGGAGCCAGTCCCAGCTAGACCTGTGCAAAGACTCTCCCTATGAATTGAAGAAAGGTATGTCCGACATTTAACGCGGGGCTGCGTCGGTCCCGGACTTTCCTAATTTATTTAAAAAAACAAAAAAACAAACACATGGCCTTGGCAGTTATTTTTCCATCAACAAGAGAGAAAAAACTACCCCTCCTATTAAAAAGTTTATAGTTGATGGAGATGGATGACATAAAAATGTAAACATCTCCACACACACACACACACACACACACACACAAATGTCTTAACCCACCGAAAAGTTAAAATAAGGATTTGTATTAAATCTTATTCTGTATATTTAATGTAGCATTTTGTATTTAAATTGATAACTCAATATCTTTGAAGTAAATTATGAAATTAAGACACCTATACAGGCATCTAATGGTTTTTTTGTAATATAAGTATATCCATTTGTGTCCCACCCCCCCAAAAAAAACTGTTTCATAGTTTAAAAATACAAGTTTAATTTAATTTTTTTACACCTATTGATTTTTTTCTGGGTATGAGCTAAAGTATTATTACAGAAAGGAATCAGGTTATACTCTTAGATTTAAAAAGTAAAAAGAAACTGCAGCCGCCTTTGTAAAATGCAAAGTATTTAATTAAAAGAGATTTTAACATAATCAGAGCCTCAATGACTTTTTAGAAGCCTCAATACACTGTCCACCGCCTTGGACACAAGGTGCAAACTGCAACTTTTTTTCCCAAGTGGGAAGGGCAAGTTCCCATAGAACCTCCGGGTGCCAGGGTTTCATCGCAGGCTGCAAGCCCTGGGGAGCATGGCCCTGCCCAAGGCAGGTTTGGATCACTGATGCGGGGCTGCCTGGGGGAGATTGGACCCTGGAGGAAGGAGGAGAGAGACCCTAGTGTATGCCCAGAAGGGAGAGAGGACGGCGAAGTCAGCTAGAGACACGCACCAGCCAGAGCTCCATCGCTTAACCTGATTACTTCCAATCAGTGTCGTGTTTTATGCAAAGCAATCAGCTGGTGAACTTTGCTAATGAGTTCGATTTTATGCCGGATTTAGCCCTTATTACTATTTCAAAGGTGCTGCGGGCTACTGCGGGCGGGAAGCGTTAGGGGGTGCCAGGGAGAAGGCCGCCCCAAATCACTTGTCTGCGTTACCCCTTCCAAATTGGGCATTGATCTCTTCCTGGGGTTTGATCAAATTAGTAAATGTCCTCTTGTCGATGGCGCGGAGGGTAGGGGGCCCGGTAGAGTCCCCGCGCAGTCTCGGGGCTGGGGCCGCGGGGCCGGCGAGGGGACGGTTCCCCGCTTTCACAGGTAGGTGTCACACTTGTCCTGAATTTCAAGCCTGCACTTTGCAGGGTGGGAGATTGGAGAGAGGGCGGAAGTGGGGGGAGGGGGCGCCACAGGGGCTTGAGGGAAGAGTGAGGACCCCGAACGGATCTGGAGAGCCCTAGCCGCCCCCGCCCTCACCCCTGCAGCGGGCCCTGTTTTGTTCCAGGGGCCTTCAAAAGTTGGAGGAAATGCGCCCCGATAGGGATGCCTCTGTGCACGCCACCGGGCTTGTCATCGCTTTAGCACGTTTCTATCTCCGACTCAAGAGTTCGAGTAGCTACAGAAGCAGTTTTGAGGTTGTTACAGTCTCCTCTGAATCCCGCATATTTCACCTCGACGTGTGAAAGGTCAGGATGCGTCCCCATCCCAAGTGAAAAGGAGACGCGGCCCTGCGCCCCAGGCCCTCCCGCGCGGTCGGTGCTCGCGTCTCCATTTTGCGCGCGGACGTGCGGAACCGCGGGCGAGTTTTAACTTCGTGGGAAATTTTCGGCGGTCGGGGAAAGGGGAGGGTTTACTGGGGGGAAAAAAAACAAACAACTCCAGCGAGGGGAATTAATTTGCTCTATTAAACTCATGCCTGAGTGTAGAGAGAATGTGTTTGCACATAACACCGGCTTCATTAGGCTAAATCAAGGTGCACTGATTTGCATTGCGACTCAAGATGACTTTATCCCTACTTGCTTTTTTAAGCACACCCCAAACTTTCATCGGAGTTTTGATTTTTGCTGTTTTGTTTTTGTTTTTGTTGATATTGTTACTGTTGTTTTTTAAGCAGCCACGGAGCGCTGTTAGCTTTTCCTAATTTAAACGAGTTTGAAAGCTTTGTCCAGATGTGTCCCCCCCCTCCCCCCCTTCCCTGGAACAGCGGTCGACTTCAGATTTTAAATTAGCGAGAAAATTCACGCAGGGAAAATGGTTTCAAAGCTGGAAGTGCGAGTGATTAAATATGCATGAGGCGATCGTATTTTATTTTGTCCCTTTAATTATAAATGATTTTTTTAAACAATTGAATTCCAGAGATGACGGGCCCTACCCCCCTCGCGCCCCAGCCCCCTCCCCCCCGCCCCCTGCAGCCCGGCTCACAATCAGCTTTTTCGCCCTGTTGATTATGCATCCCCAGGAGTCACCTTGTCTTCTGAAAAAGTCAGAAGAATAGGCCGGTCCTCTCCTCTGAAGAGAGAGAGTTTCAGGGCGACCTCAGCTCTGCAGGGTTTGGGGAGCCCTGGCCCGACACCCTGCCCAATGGTTTTTCAAGAGAAAATCGCAGGCCTCCCTGTGTCCCCAGGAATATGGAAATGGCGCGGCGCGGGCCTCCCCAAGTCTGGTTTCGGGGCTCCTTGGGAACGGGAACCTAACACCGGGGAGCCCCTCGGCGTTTCTCCTCAACGGGGTGCCGCTCGAGGAGCCCCACGGCTGGGGAGCCAAACCACCGGGGGCTGGAAGGCTGGTGCCAGAGTCGCCGCCTGCTCCCCGCATCCCTCCCGCCCTTGGCCCCTGCAGGGTCTACGGTTTTCTTTGCGTACTTCGTCTTCAATAAAATTAGGGGTTTCTCCTTTGCGGAGCTGGTTTTTCGGTGGCCAGTGGTTTCTTGGGTGTCTGGAGTCCTTCCAGTTTGGGGGGCGGCCCGCCGGGCAGATGGAGGTTTGGGCATTTAGAAAATGCCTCGGGCGTTGAATCCCAGAAGTAGCTGCGTGTCTGCAGGGTCCTGGAGCCTCCACTGGGCCGCGTCTTGGGCCGAGCGGAGGCAATGCAATGCGCCTTGGAGGAGAGGGAGGACTTCCGGCGAGTGCCAGCCTGGGATGGGGTTAGCTCGCAGGCCTGGGCTGGGGCGCGGAAGTGGAGCGAGGCCGCGGCTAGGACACCTCGGTGCTACGGCTGGGAGGGCATTTGCCACCTGCGCTCCGCTGCAGTTAGGAACCAGGAGGCCCTGGATCCCTGGCAATAGAAACCATGGGATCACTGAGTTGGGTCTATGCAGTCCGCGCCCCCAGAGGCAGCGCCCCACGGGGGACGGGGTGAGTTCCTTCCTTTATCCCTCGGTGCCGGGAGGAATCCGTTCCTGGGACTTGGCGATGAGGAGCGAACAGCCCAGTCCACCCCCGAGGACGTCTAAGAGGGCACTGAGGAGAGGCTGTGGAGGGGGGCCTCCTCGCCTCGCGGTGCCAGGGCCTGAACTGTTCCCTGGTCCGGGTGCGGGGCCTGCGTCGAGGCCTCCTAGTTTGCAGAGCGCGCGGAGCCGCTCATTCCCGATGAAGTGCGCGAGTCTTGGGGCGCGGGAGGTGGGAGTGGGCAGGGGGTCGCCGCGCGCGCCGTTTCAAAACGGGCGGGGTCCTTCAGCGCACCTTTCCCCCGCGGCCCCCCTCCACCGACCCCCCACCCCCCTGCAACTAGCTGCCAGCTCGGCAGAAGCCTAGAAGCGCGCTTAGCAAAGCGCCCAAAGTGAAAGGAATGTGATTGCGCTCCAGGGAGAGAGCCGGGCGCGGATGCAGCTTAGAAAGGGCGCCGCCTACCGGTTCCCGAGCGCCGCGCGGTTAGCAGAGGAGGAATTAGGCGACGCCAGGCTCTGCCCCCCGCAACCACAGCTGTGCCTTAGCTCTGAACCCCAAGCGGGCCAAACGTTAACCGCTCCACCACCTCATTCGCTTCTGCCCGGGACCCGGGACCCACTTAAAATTAGGGATTTGGAGAGCAGGACCTGCAACTAGAACTATTTTAATGCTACAGATTCCCACCGTGACTTAGGCACAGTCTGGAAAACCAGGCGGGAAGCTAAGGAGAAATAGGCCCGCGGCTGACATAGCCGGAGGGTGGGGGCTGGGGCTGTGCGCATCCTGGCCAGTCGGGGTCCCGGGGCTCCCACGCCCCTTCAGGTGCCTGCACTGGAGGTTCTGCTGGCCCGGGCTCTGGACCCCGCACAGTTTTGTCTAATTTGCGGTTCGGCATATCTGAGGTCTACCGTGCAACCTTGCCCCTCAGGCCGCTTCTGACTTTTGGACTGTAGGTTGGACATCTGTAGGAAAAGGAAAAACAAAACAAAAAACTTGCCCTCCGATGCGTCAACCCCTCCTATTTCTGAAGAACCTTGAACCAGGTCGACGTGGCAAGGCAGGAGGTGCTTCCGTGGGCGTCCCCAGCGCCCCTCCCAAAGCGCTAACGGGTAGAATCCACTGCACCCCGCCCCCGCTCCCTGCAGGGATATTGGGGGAAAACACGGACGCGCCTTCTGCTCAGCTCTTCGCATCCCTCGCCACTCGGCCACCGGCCACCAAACAGGAGTCAAACCAAAATCGGGTCTGACTAGCTCCTGGCCGCCTGCACTGCCCCAGACTAGCTAAGGCCGCGGGCCTGTCCCTAGCCCCACCCCGCGGGTCTCCCTCTGTGACCGGGCGGGAGCGGGTCTCCTTTTCGTTTGAGCGCAAAATGCGACTTGGGTCCCGGGCACAAGGCGTGGCCCAGGTTGTGGACGAACAGGGGCTGGCCTCTGAGGCCGTGCTGCCGCTCTGGCTGCACCCCTGGCTCTGGCCTGTCCCTCGGGGCTATTGGGGTCTCCGGCCTCCTGGCGACCGCAGGCCCCAGTCCTAGATCCCCAAGGTCGCCGACCAGGCCGCGCTCGCTTTCAGCGCCCCAGGAGCCCGGCGGGCGCAGACAACACTTTCCCCGGTGCGATCTGCTTTTCGTTGCTCCCAGCAAACCCCGGGCTCCCCGCGCTCCCCGCCTGATGGATGCACATGTAAATGCGCGCTTATTTAATTGGATCAGGCCCCCAGATAAAGAGATAAACGGCTCCCCGTTTGCTAACTTGTTTTCGGAGGCAGGCGTGCGGCGCCGCGTGAGGGAGCCAACGAAGGCGCGCGCGGGCTGCAGCTCCCGGCGTCGGCTCGGCTGCAGCTGCGGGCCTTCCGCGACCTGCTTGCGGGCCCTCCCGCCCCAAGACCCCCGGGCCTGTGGCCCAGGACGCAAATGCAAGGGCGGGGGGTGCTGCGTCTTGCAAACATTACCCTAACACTTTT